CCGCCACGGGACGATACCGCCGCCATCCCTGGAGGAGGGGGCAGGGGGTGTCGTCCACCTACACAACATGCGCGCCCCGGGGGCCGCTGGGGTCTCTGCAGCCGGCTCCAGCCTCGGCTCCAGCCGCAGGCCACAGGGTCGCAAAGGCCAACCCCCGCGCGGACCGCAGACAGCTGCGCTCGCGTCGATTGGCTCGCACGGGGTTTAGCTTTCGATTTAGGATTTGATGTCCCATCGGTTATCTTTTCCCCCCTCTTATGTATCGGTTTTCTTTTTGTCCTATACACTCCGGTCGAGTTAGGGTTCACCTGTAGGCCCATGGGACCAGCTCGGGTCATTTCTCTCCCTTTCCCCCTCTTTCCCCTCTTCAGTTTAGGTTCGGTCTCACTCGCCACTAACGAGACAGCCGCGTTGAACCAGGTTGCTTCCCCACACTTTGTCCCCATACTTCCGCACCTCGGTTCCCAAACTTCCCTATTCTCCCATTGCGTTCAGTGTGGAGGTAGGATAGGGCGATTCGTGATTTTGAACTGCACTTCTGCGTAGAAGCATGCAACTTGCTCCCTGCACCATAACGTACGCCCACGGGGGATTGGTAGTCATTTTTATCGCAAACCATCGGCACACAGCGTCCCCCTATCCGAGCCCCTATCCCAGTAGTCCCGCCCGGTCCCGCTACGCCACGTCCAGCTCTGCGTCCAAATCATTCCGCCATTTAGCCTCCGGGAGTCGCTTGGATACCAGCAGACCGCCACCATAAACATGGCAGGGCTGTGCTCCGCACCCCGCCTGGCTCCCACGCTCTTTGTCCGAGTGTTGTCCGTCCGTCTGTTATGGTCTGCTGGGACAGCAATGCGGACATGTTTGCTTGTTTTACCCTCATCGGTCTGTGCAAGGGGGTGTAAGAACGAGGCACTGCAAAAACTAAGGTGCTAAGTCGTACCTTTAAAATGCACTGAATATGTTTAGTGCGTTTTCAAATGCACTAAAAAACTGTCAAAGGCACGAATTTTTAGCACCTGCGGGTCCTTTATTGCCCACTTAAATGTTATGAACATTTTTATTCATAGCTTACTGATGTCCCCCGCCAGTATGAACAAAATTATTCACTGGCGTATTAAAAAATCCGCAAGCGGAGAATGTTTACTGAGATCAGTAAGCTATGATAAAAATATAAAAATGTTCGTAAAATTTGGGTGTGTCCCCTTGCAGAGGGGGGCATACAGCCACTGTAAATATAAGGGTAGAGTGAGATAAGGGATAGGGAGATAGAGGGCTTCTTTTGGAAACTCTAATTATTGGCCTAGCTTGCCAAACATTGGCCACCACAAAGCGGCGAATATGCTGGCCTTCATTTTAAAGGACATTAGATTTTGGCAAATTACGGCCAAATGGCAATCAAAAAGGAGTGCCAAAATGTTGTCAAACAAGGCAACTACGGCTTGAAGAGCGTGGGTGCGTCACTGCATTCGGGCGCGCAGCTGCGCTGCCCTTCCCGGCTGCCGTGTGAGGGAGGGGCTTAGCACGCTGTCGGACCAGATTTCGCGTTAATTCAGAACAACAGCGACTCGGGCCCGTATGCGCGTTTGTAATCCTCTCTCCACGACTTTCTGCTGACTCGTCGGTTTTTTGATGAAAGCTGGCAAACGTTGAATTGCAGAGGAATAAATTCACGAGGTTAAACCATGCATTGCATCATGCAGGCGTCCGCATGCATCACGATAGGGTGAGCAAAGTTATTCAACACGAAGGGAGAAGAAAAGAAACGTTTGTAGTAAATATTTTTGGTGACAGCTGGCGGTGTCGTGGACGCGGGAGGTGCCGGCGGGTGTGTGGGCGCCGCCGGGCCGAGCGAGGGGAGGGTCAAGCCTGAATATGAATAGCGAACGTAATCAGGACTTGAGGGCCAACAAGAACGTGTGGT